ATATTAATATTAATATATATATATATATATATTAAATATTTTATTTAACAAACTCTTACCAAATTTGCCAATTACTATTTTCATTTTTTTCAATTAATAAAACCTTCAATTATACATTTTGATACAAAAAACCATCTTAATTTTATCCTACTATCATTTGTGCGATTAGTTTTTATACTAGATCAATTTTATGTTAACATGCTCTTAAAACATAATGCAATTGATTAATATAAATATTCTAGTTAATAATGACCATTAAGTAATTGATTTTTAATGAAGACTTTTTCATTGCTTTCAAAATATTATTATTTTGATTGTTCAATAGAAAACTAATTTATTCAAATCATATGTTTTTTAAGATAACATATTTTACTGTAGTTTTTCTTAATCTATTATGGACTACATAATTCTTATAAAGATTAAGCAAATTTAAGATGGCCTATAATAATTTATATCTTTTATTTGAGAATTATTAAAAAGTACCAAATTTTGAGATGATTAAAGCATGTTATTTTATGGTTGTTTAATTTATTTATTTAATTAACCCACCATAATATTTTTTAAACCATTAAGATTATTAACGTTATGTATATTGATATGAACTGATAAATCAAATATAAAATAGGACTTTTTATTTAACAAGGTCTGGTAGCGGTAGAAACTTTACTTGATCTCTATCATCATAATTATCTCCTATAAAGTTGCAAAGACAGTGAGCATATCTGACAGGTGCAGGGATTTTAATAGAGCCTGTAAAGTTATAGAATAACCAACACAATTTAAATGTCAAGACTTTTATATCATCATCAAGACCTAGAATAAAATAATAATTTACCTGCTTGATCTGAATGAATTATCTTATATAAAGAAGGAGTGACAGTTCCTTATCTGGTTATTTATGAAATTAAATAAAAGTTAGGGTTGGATTATTCTACAACTTTTGGATTATCAACACATGTTCCTGGTTAAGGATTATCAGGTCTTGCATTTCCACCAGTATAGAATTTAGCCGAGACTCTTTTATTACAGACAACAAGTGAAATTTTAGTATCCGTAATTTATAATTCTTCTAAGGCTTATTTATATTATGGTAATTCATTAGCAAGCACTACAGCTTATTACCCATCACCAACACCATCCCTATAAATAATAACCAATTTTGGAAATATTCCATTTTATTCTTTGAAAGCCAGGAGTGATGCTTTGAATACCTGTTATAGATGCTAGCTAAATTCTCCTGAAGTAACAACTTGAGAATAATATCTACTTAAATTTCTATCTACAGTGCTACAGAAAGCTAATTAATTTTTTCTTCCACTTTTAACAAAGCAATCAGTTCCACAAATCATAGTAGGCTAATTTTAAAATGTAATTGGTAAGCTATCAATTGCCCAAGGAGTACCTCCAACTTTAGCATTAAGTTGAATTAATATTTTATTAACAATTGATCTTGTATTTTTGGCTAGAGTTTTTTCTACAACAACTTAAGATGCGCAACCAAACTTTTGCATTGATATTTTCTTAGCAGTTTTATATAATCTTGCTTTCTTTTTTTATCCAGGTAAAAGGAATAATAAGAATCCAACTTTGGCTTTATTAGCCTCGGCTTATTTCTAAAAGCCATCAAGAACCCTTTCTAAATCCTCATCTCTGTCCTATTCAATAGGAAATACTTTAGGAGCCATGAATGCTTAAAACTTAAAGTCATTGCATGCAGCTTAAAAGTTTTGCATCAAAGAATCCATAGTTTATTACCCAGTTTTTTTGTTGTAAATGATTCCCAAAATAAGTTATTGAGGAGGAGTTGAAAACATCTAGGTTTATGTTTATCTATCTAAATTTGTTTATGGACTTGATAGATCCAATTTTAATCCATTTCCCATTAACATATTTCCTGGATGGATTCTTCTGGCAGGCACATCCATACTTCCTGGGTTAATTTCTACTCCCCATTCTTTAAATATTTATCTCTTAGTTCCTGATTTTTTGTTTATTATTTCAGTATTTGCTAATTAATTAGCAAATTCTTAAGCCATCTTCATTCTTTAATCAGCTCCTGGTTTAGTTACAACAGCTAAATTCTTCATTGCATTAAAATCCTAAAATTTTTACTAAAATTAAATACATTTCTAATTGCATCTGTTAAACCAGTTAATTAACATAATTGCGGGATCAAATGAATAGTTTTTTCTGTTTTATCTTATTTGCTTCTCACAGTAGCTCTAATTAATGGTTAATTTCCATCAACTTTCACCTTATATCTTTATTCATAATATTAGGCAAAAGAAATGGTTTCGCCTTTTTCATTTGTAAATGTGCTAGTTGGTCTAAGATTAACATCAACAGCTTCAACTTTATAAAACTTTTTGTTATAAGTAGTCATAACAATTTAATCTTAAATACAGGATGGATTTCTAGTTTAATTCAATTCTTCTAAGGCAGATCTATATCTAAGCATTTTAAATGCACAATCAATTACTAAGGTAGGATTTTAAGCTCCTCCTTCTCCTGGTCTAAAAATGCATTCTACACCTGGCCAAATCTATTGTTTAATAACATTTTCTTACTTCTAAATTTTAATCTTTAAATTACTAGGCTCTACTTGACCAAAATAGCTTTTATCCTTTGTTTCCTACAGATACCATTTATAATTAGCTTCTAATAACTTACTTAAAGAGTCTTGATATTATGATATTGAGATCAGCTTTATTTTCTATTTTTCCTACTAGTTTAAGAGTTGCAGTGTCCTGATTAGTGTCATTACCACTCAATGAGCCTAATACTAATCCATTATCAGCTTCTTGGATTAATTTTGGTGAATAAATATTCTAGTTCAAACTCATAAATAAGATCAATTAGGTCTAGAGTTAAGGTCTAAATTTCTTAAGTGCCTCACTAACTTTCTCTGGTGAGGAATCTGTAATTTCTAATTTATATTAATAAACTGGTCTTGAAGGATTTAATCTCATCTCATGGAAATTTGCTTTTAGTTAAATATTTTGGAACATTTTGAATTTTATACATTTATTACTTTGATTGAATTACTTCATATATTCATTTTATAAAAATGAAGCTAAACACTTTAGTGTGAGTCATAAGTTTAGTACAATTTATATTTGAAATTAAATTTAATTAATTTATAATTAATTCACTTCAAATATTAAATGATTGATCTAAACTATTAGCTTAAAACTTTTGTATGATGATTTGTATGGTAAAAATTTGGTATTGTTTAATTGAATTTGATTAAAATGATATTTATATGTTATAAATGAGCATTATTTTTGAAAAAATATTGATTTATCATAACAAAAGTTTATTTTATTATTGCAATCTTTATACAAATTATTTCTGTATAATATTTATATAAAATCAACAAAATATTATAATATAAGGGTAACATTGCAATTCTATTTAAATATTTTTAATCAGATTTAATCAAGAATCAGAAGTGTTAACAACATAGTTCTTTAAATTAAACTATATATAGATTGAAATTATAAAATAAATTAATTTCTTTTCATGTCAACTTTAAAATCAATCATCGATGAAACATATATCAATGTTAATTTGAAAGGAGGTAATCTTCATTCTGAACTCCTACATATAGAAGCATCTTTCAACAAAGGTAATTTATTAATTTAATTTAGGATAATTTAAGGGATAATCAATTCCATTGAAATGTCAATGGTATAACATCACCAAAGATAAAGACTTTGTGGAAATAGAGGATGTATCGGGATAATTCTATTAGCCTTGTATATTAGATATTGATACTAAGTAAATTCTGCAATAATCCTTTAAGAATTATGGTTTAAGCAATACCGATTTTAGACTTTGAATATAATGGAATGCCTTTAATGGCTGAAACTAGTTTTTTGCAAGCTGATTCAAAAATCTTTGATTTAGTAGATTAATATATTAAAATTAGGTTAACTAAGCATTTAATTAAGGAGAGATGTAATTAAATTGTAAATTGGAAAATATACAAGCATAAGATAACTAATCCTTTGCAGATCTTAATTTACCTTTAATATGCACTATAATTGCTAATGAAAATGGATTGATATTAAAAACTGATTAAAATAAGATTATAATGAATATTGAAAAATACTAACTCAAGATTATAAAGAAAAATAATAATTAGATTGAAATCTTCAATTAAAATATAAAATTATTAGCAGCTTTAACAAATAATATAGTTCGAGATGCTATTTTTTAATTTAGCAAAACATTAAAATCAAAAATAACTCATTTAAGTGACACAGCTTAATTATATATACTACTTTCTGATTAGGAATAAAAGTTGATTTAAAAAGATAATGAGATTTTATAATTATAAGATATAAAACAAAAACTAACAAAAAATATAAATGAGCTTTAATAATAGTATAATTTAAATATCAAAAAAATTGAATCAAATGATAAATAATTAGCATAATTAAGTTTATAAGTTTAAAGTAAGGATAAAGAAATATAGAATTAAAAATAATAGATAGATAAATTGGATGGGAAAACATAGATTTATATTTAAGAAATTAAAGTTTTAAAGAGCTAAGTAATTTTATTAGAAAATACAAATAAAAAGTTCTAACTTGAAATTGAAGAATTGAAAAATAAGGAACACTAAAATTAAGATGAAATAAGAGAAATGTTTTATAGAGAAAAGCTTGACAGTTTAAAATAATAAAATGATGTATAATTATGTATATTTAGAGAAATGCATCAAAGAAAATCAATAATGGCAACTCATAAATGATTAGTTAATGAAAGAAATAAAAAAACTTGAAAGCAACAACATATTTATAATAGAAGAGAAAGAATTAATTTAAAATGAATTAAATAGTTTAAAAAAAAAGTATGAGAGCTTATCTTAAGAGATTGAACTTAATCAGAAGAAAGAGAAATCTGATGTATCTTCTGAAGTAATGATTATATTTTTAATTTTAGAGTGATGTTCAGTCAAATAAATAATCTGAAATTATTATAGGTAATCCTATTGTTTAGAATAATAATAATTCGTAGGAAGAAATAAAAAGATTAAAAACTACTATTAATAATTTGGAAGCTACTATAAAGAAGTAAAAAAAAAAATGATAAATTTTAGTTTGAAATGTGATTATGAATAGGATATGTTGAAATTAACAACTAAACACTTTTTAAAGAACAACAATTCTCATGAAATATAAATTTTATAAAAATTAGTAAAATAATGAAAAATATTATTAGGCTAATTCTTTGGTTGAAAGTTTATCAGATAAAGAATAGGCTTTATAAACTTAGAGGAATATTAATAGAGAATTAATGAATAAACTAACTGAATTTACAAAGTGATTAGGGGAATAAATGCATTGATTAATATTTATTATATTCATTATTCTTTAGGTGTTAATCCAAAATATTTATTTTGCAAAACAAAAGGAAGATGTGATTTAAAAGAATTAGAATTAAATTTATCTATTAATCCAAATTTAGATTAAGTTGGACTTGTTTATAATTATCTAGAAGTTGTTGAATGTATTCTCCTGGTTAAAGTTGTTTCAGTTGGATATTTCTTTTATAAATTTCGAGAACTATCTTAAATATGATCGCTGCTTTTTTTAATCTCTTTTAAATTGAATTTTTATTTATAGTTCTCTTCTTCTTAATTTAAATTCTCTTTTATTATAGGCTATGATGAAAATAATTTTGATAGAACATTACTTATATATACATTTAGTTTAGGAGAGTCAAGAGACAACATTTCTGTTTTTGGTCTTTTTTCTATTGATTTTTTAGTATTTTTAGGTCCTTTCTTATAAGACAAAACAATTTACAATTCTGTCCTTTATCTTCTATGCTTTTCAGATTTATATAATTACTTAAGTAATGTACTATAATTCATTTCAGACTTAGGAGATTCTAATGTTAAAGTAAGTTCTCGAATTTTTTTATCTATTTACTTTTTTTTACTGCTCACTTTAGAAACAAAAGTTTTATTACGTACTAATACATTTGATTGCAAATCTTCATCAGTTAATAATTTTGGATTAAGTTATTCTTTAATTTAAGTTCTTTGGAGAACAATTTATTTGTCTGTTTAATCAATAAAATTCTTTTCATATGCTTAAATCTATGCTAGAGCTTATTTTAGTTTATCATCATTTAAAGAATTCAAACTTTTTAATAAGGGTTGATCATTTTATAAGACTCTTAAGAAATCTCTTTTGGAGACAGAATATACAGTATTGGATTCAAAAGTGGATATATAACTAAATTATCTACATAAATCCTATTATTTTAAAATTTCTAATTCTCCAAACATCTCACCTGCACCAACAAATTTTAATGTCATACAAGATTTTTTATCTCCAATAACAAGGTTTCCATATTTCTTTTTCTAATAGAGCATATCTATTTTATCTGAATTAGATAGACTTGGTTTAGAATAAGCAAACCTATCTTTCAATTTTTATAGATCATCTTAATAATTATTCTCTTCAAGTTATTATGCTATTCTTAATGTTTTAACTACCTACAGTAATAATTAAATATATATTACTTTAAATTAACCAGTTTATATAAAATAAACTTCATTTGAAGGATCACCCTCTTTGTAAATAGTGTGATTAAGTCGATATTTATTTTATTTTATTACATCAAATAATGATTTAATGCTCATAAACTTCCAATCTCTGAAAATACTCAATTTAGCAAACTCTTCAAAATACATTTATCTTTATTGGTTAATCTTATTTTGAATAATTTAGGATTACCACAGTTTTTTTGATAACCATATAATCTTCAGCTTCTAAGACTGCTAAATGAGTTGGAAGTATGGCTTTAACAGAGGCTGAACGTGGTTCATTATTCTCAAGTGCTAATTCCCCAAAACCTTATCCATCTTATAATTAGATTAATTCTTTATCTTCAAATTAATCTTAAACTAATAATCTTTTATGGATAGATACCCTTCCTTATAAAATAATATAGAAGGTAGTACCAACATCACCTTAAAATGAAATTAGTAAATACCTTCTCGAAATAATGTTTAACCATAAGAAAGATATGTATAACTCATTTTTCTAAGACATCTTTCCCATAATAAAGGACCTTAATTTTTTTCAATCAATTTTTAGAAATAGTCTATATGAATAGTGGCTTTTTTAAGTATTTCAATTTCTGATTAAGTTCTATGATAAGATGATTTTGTAAGGATGATGCATAATATACCAAATATTTACTCTTATGTCAAAGTTTCATAAAGGGATGGTTCTTGTTCCATTTAAAGAATGTATTATTTGAGTTTTTTATTCTCTTATTCTTTAAGAGCTTATGTATTTAATGAGTTTTTGCGAATAAATTTATTCATAATTATTTTATTAAGCAAGAAATTGGAAAATCTATAATGAAGGGTCAGCAAACACCAAGTCGTTTTCCTAAGATTAATTAATTTGAGACTCAATTTTCTCATTTATCATTGAGCAATTTCTAAGAATAAAAACATAATCCTTCAATTTGTAAGGGAATGTTGAGTATGATTAATCCTAAACCTCCTTGTGAAAATAAGAAGATAAAACAATCTAGTATTTATAATAATGAATAGGTTAATTTGAATAGAAAGCACATTGTTTGAAGAGATGTTTATAAGAAGAAGGAACAAGTTTTGATTTAGATTTGGCAGTATTTAAAATACGTCCTTGTTAAAGATAATGTGAACATAATCATAAATAATGTCCATATTTCCATTCATAAGATGATTTAAGAAGACCAGGAACATATTATAAAGCAGAATTATGTTCTTATAAAGTAGAATAAAAAGAATGTCCTCATGGTTATAGTTGTAGTAAAGCACATAATCAATATGAATTGTTATATTAAGAAGACAATTATCGAAAATTGTTTTGTCCTAAACCAGAAAATTGTTGTTTTGGTATGTATTGTCCTTATGCTCATTTTGAAAAGGATATTAAATGTGAATTGATCCATCTTTATTAACATGATCAAGATTATTTTATGTTTCATTACAAAACTATTCCTTGTCCATATACACTTTTTAATCATAATTTAGTAATCTATAATTTAATTAGGTCAACTTGTGATTATTATCATAATGAGAATGATAAACGTAGAAAGGTTTAAAATGTCAATTATTAACCTTAATAGTGTCCAAATTGGATATAAAATAAGAGTTGTTCTAATGAATGTTCATTTTGTCATTCTATTTTTGAACTTTATTTTCATCCTTATATGTATAAAACCTTTGAATGTAATTAGTAAAATTGCATAAGAGATAAATGTCCAGGATATCATGATGAAAAAGAATTCAGGTGAGAATTTGTACATAATATTAAAGACAATTAAATTCATTAGTTATAAATGGAATCATGAAAATAGTTCCTAAGAATAGATTTGAAGAGAAACAACCTAAAACATAAATCAAGTTTCCTAGTATAAATTAATGAATTATTTTATAAATTTATATACTCTTTATAATTTAAATAAATTTTATGTCATTCTGTTAAGAGTAATTTTTTATTAATATTTGAAGACCCATAGTTGACTGTCAATACTTGAAATCTGTTCTAAAGAATCTTGATAATAGATTAAATACATTTGAGAATTCTAATCAGAATTGTTTATAGAAAAATCATCAATTTTTAGATAAATATCATTAGGAATTAGTTATCCCAAAACTCAAACTAAACAAAATACAAATAGGATTTAATGATAATAATGTCCCTTAAAAGAAAGTCTTAGTTACTTTTGGAAACAAAGAGAATTTCAGAACAGATAATTGCGAATAAGTTGGAGATAGAATAGATTAAACAAACCTTAATATTAACTAACCATCTCCTTAAGATAAAACTATAGCATTTTCAAATCAGATGGGTTAATAATAATTGTAATAACCAAAACAATAAGATAATAAATTTAACAATATTAATAATTAACCTAAACTCAAATTAGTCAAACAGGATTCAAAACTAATCCATCCAATATTCTCAAAGAAGAACTATGAATAATAATCATTAGGGACTAAATTTTATACTCGCAATAATTCTATATAATCAACTCCTGTTAAATAGATTGGTTTTAATTCCTCTTTAGGAACTTCACCTTTAAGAAGAAAGAATTCTTAAAAAAATAGTGATTTATATATCAATTCATTGTAAATTGATGATATGATGCAAAATTAAAGCAAATTTCTTAAATATTTTCAATAAAATTATGGATCACTCAAATAATAATGTAATACATATGACAATCCTACTATCAAGACTAGAACTACTTTCAAATCTCAAAATACGAGACCTTTGACTGATGTTTAAATGATAAAAAATTGATTTTCATTTTATTCACTTTTTAAATTACTTAATTTAATAATAATTGAATTTTTATTTAATAAAGCAAATTAGTAAAAACGATTTATTTATTAAAATAATGAAAAGTTTAGTAGCCATAACATTAGTTCTGTGTCTCCTTTCAAATCAAGTTTTGTCTAAAAAACATAACTAAGATGAAGAACATTCAGCATTTGAAAAAAGTACTATTTTATGATTAATAAAAAGGCCATAAAAAACTAGCACTCTCTGATGATCCAGCTTATGGAAAATTAGAAGAAATTTAAGATCATCCACTTGGATCTAAGATTCTTTAAACTATTGCTCTTTAATTAAGAGGCAATGAATCATTAAGTGCCGTTAGCAAATTATTGAATGATTTGAAAGGTGATCTTGAAGTAATTATATACTCTATTCAAGGGGAAATAAATAGATGCTGATAATGAAAGAGCTCAAATTGGATCATAATGCAAAAAAGATCTTTAAAATTATAGTCAAAGAATTAGTTTGTCAATCAATGAAATTAAGGATGCCGAATTCAAAGCTAAAAGATTGAATGAAGCCATAGCTGTCTATTAAGCTGAAATCAATGAAAAGGCCAGATAAATTAAAGTCTTTTAAGCTAAAGATGATACCTTAAGAGATATTAGAAGATAAGACAACTTAGATTTCTCAACCAGAACCACTTAAATGAAGGAGATGGTTTAAGCTTTTGAAGTCATCTTGCCAAAACTCCATTAAGTTTGGGATGTAGCTGCAGCTCATAAAGCTGGTTCCTTCATTGAAGAAGAAGCTATTAACGAAGCTTTAGTTCAATTGGCTAAAATTGGAGAAGAAAATCCAATTACTGCTATGGTTGCTTTGACATCCACCTTAGAACCAACTGCAGTTTAAACTTTAATTGAAAAAATGGAAGCCATTAGAGATTCTATTAAAGAGAGTATTTAAGCTGAAGAAGAAGCTGAAGCTAAGAATGCTAGAGTATGATACTTATATTTATTATACTTAGGACACTGACACTATTTTGGCAGCTATTTTTAATGCTATTGAAAGTTTGACTAGAGAAAAAGCAAGTGATGAGGAAGCATTATAAGAGACAATTAGAAATAGAGACATTCAAGATAAGAGAAGTAGAGATGCTCATGCTGTATTATATTATGTAATTATTAGGAATTCAATGCTGCTAAGAATGGTAATTAATAAAGAAATCAATAATGCTAAGAATACGAATTATAATATTAATAAAATACCATTGAAAGAGATAAATAAATTGCCATAATTAGAGATGTTTAAAACATCATAGCCACCAAAATAGAAGTTGTTACGTGCTTTGTTGAGGAAAACAATTTATTTTGATATGAATTATATTACAATAAATAATTATAGAAAAATTCCTCATCATATTATATTTCTGAGTCTTCTAAACAAATTTCTAATGGATTCCCATATATCTATTGATAATTATCTTGCAGCTGAAAATAGCTTCTTTATTAAATTTATAAGCCCCTTTGTTATACTGACAATTAAATTCCAAATTGGAGTCAACAGTTAAAAATAAATAAATGATACAATTATGCCTATTATTTTTATTAAACCCTAATTATAATATATGATATTACATTAAAAAGATATTTACACATATTCCATAATGGTAATAATAAATATTAATAAATACTATTAGATATGATTCTTATCATAGATACAAGCATATTGAATAAAGGTTTCAAAATATATAAAAAAATATTTGTTAGAATCATTTCATAAATGATATTTATTATAATCCAAGATAAACATCTATACAAATTTACACAGATTTAAAAATATATGAATTCAGTAATTTTAACTATTATTTTATTTATAACATCAACAATTATGAATCTTAAACATTAGTATAATTTTATGATGATAATTTAATAAAGAAAATCTATTAACATCCATTTGATTATTTTACAAATTGGAATAATTATTAGTTTATATAAAAAGTCAATTAAAAATAACTTTATTGCTTTGAATGAATAAGTTAACACAATTTCAATCAAAAATTTAACTATTAAATATTTATAAAAATTAACTAATATATAAGTATAAAAGTTAATTATTGACCATTTCATTCCTTTGCAGAAATTTATTATAATTATTTTATAAAAGACATCTACTAAGAGAAATACGAAAAATTTTAAAAAGTTCAATATAATATATTTATAAATTGGTTTAAGGATATAGTCTACTGTAAAATAAAAAATAGTTAGTGTAGTTATTTTAATAATGTGAAATAATTTTTCTATTATGTAAATTATAACAGTTTTGGTGGGGGTGTAGATTTTATGATAAAAACACATAGATAAAGGTAGAATAATTTTCAAAGTTAAAGGGATTGTAATAAAGGAAGTGAATTCTTAGATGATTGATTTCAAATGAGCAAATTTGAATATAACATTAACGACAAATATTGCATACCAGTCTAGAATTTATTTAGAGCATCTGCCTATACAATATATTACATCAAGTAATTTATTACATATAAAAGTAAAACAGGAGTACATATAATGACAAAATATTAAAAGTAAAAGCCATAGTTACTATAAAAATTAAGCAATTTTTCCTAAAATATAAAGCAAAAAATGATAAAGTTGATTGGTACAACAATTATATAATAAAATAGTTGTGCAATGGAGTATTTTCCATATAATGACTAAAGGCAGGAGAGGAATAGCAATAATAAGTTTTAAAACTTTAATTAAGATGTGATCGCTTCTGTTTAGTAAACCACAACAAAATTTTTCATTAGTATTTTCTATATCTTATATTTCGTTTTATTATTGGGGGAAGACTTGTTCTTATGGTTCTTCTCCTTATGCTTATTGTTCTTCATTCATGTCCTAATATTAATTCATGGAGATTAATTAATATTATAGATTATAAAAGAAATCTAATTGTGAGGTTAGAGTAATCACAATATTGAAGAAGTTAGATTGATAATTGAGTTCAGAATGTTTAAATTTCTTAAAATAAATATTTTAATCCATAAATAAAATTAAGATTTTAAAAAACAATGAGTAAAAAGGACCTTGAAATCACAGTTGGATGTATAATAATAGTATTAAAAATATAATAGAAATCAGAAAGGCAATCCCTTAACATTTATTTTAAAAGAATGAGTTTCGTTTCTTAGTTTCTGTAGGTTAAGCTGTTAGTTGCACATTATTACTAACATATTTAGCTTATAATTATATACCCTTGACTTGGTTGGCTCTACCAATTTGGGTGGCATATGCTTTCCTAACAGGAACTGTGGCTACAGGAATATGTAAGATAATTAATAAAATTTAGGGGTTCTTGGTCATGAATGTGGACATTTTGCATTCTCTGATATTAGATGGTTGAATGATGTTTTAGGTTTCATATTACATGAAGCATTGTTGGTGCCTTATTATTCATGGTAACATTCTCATGCTCTTCATCATGCAAAGACCAATCATTTAACAGAAGGTGAAACACATAATCCAGTCATTATTGATTCAAAGATGGGAAAAATATATTAAAAAATGAAAGATATTTTGGGAGTGGAATCTTTTGCTTGTGTTTAGATCTTTAATATAGCAGTTTTGGGATGGCCTCTTTATCTTTTACTTGGTGTCACAGGAGGATCAGCAAGAGGATTTACTAGTCATTTTATAGTACCCAATAAATTATTCCCACCCAAAATGTTAGTCAAAGTTACTGCATCAAATCTTGGATTATGTTTAGTTATTTATGGACTTTATAAATGGTATTAAGCAACCTCATTTGCTGAAGTTATGGCTTTATATATTGGTCCTTATTTAGTAGTCAATATGTGGTTGACTATTATCACTTTCTTATAACACACTGATATTGATGTTCCTCATTTTGATGAAACTGCTTGGACATGGTTAAAAGGTATATTAATATAATTATTATTAGGTGCTTTATGTACAATTGATAGAAATTATCCTCTTTGGATTGATGCTTTACATTTCGAAATTGGTACTACTCATGTTGTTCATCATGTCTTTTCTGAATTACCTCATTATAATGCTAGAGTATATTATCAATCTATTATTTATAGGAAGCTAATGTCTATGTAAAATAAGTTATTGGCGATTTGTACAATTAAGATGCCAAAAATTTGTGGACATCCCTCTATAATTCTGCCAGTCTTGTTGGAGTGGAACACAAAGGAAATGGTATCTGGAAATTCGCTAAGGCTTGATTATGATTTAGTATATATTGATCAACACATATTAATAATAAATATATTCTTATATTACAAATAATTTTAAATCTTTAAATTATGAGCAAAAAGGATAAAGATTATACAGGGTAATTAGTTGTTTGATATTAATTTTAGATTTCCTGGTGATTGTAATCAAACTTAATTAAAGGCTTTGGCTGAATTCAGAAACATTGTTAATGGAATGGGATTGAGTGATAAAGTTTACGATGATCCTTATATCTTAAGATTTCTAAGGGCAAGGAAATTTGATATTAACAAAACATAAATTATGTTTAATGACTTTATTAAATGGCGTAAAGAAAATGATGTTGATAATATTATGGTAATATTTAAATAATCTTAGACATATATGTTTGAAGAATTACCATAAGTAAGAACTCACTATCCTCATGGTTATCACAAAACAGATAAAATAGTATTGAATTTCTAAATTATTAAAGGGAAGACCAATCTATATTGAAAGAATTGGAATGTTATAATTAAATAAACTATTTGAAATTACTTCAGAATAAAGATTAATCAAATATTATATTCAATCATATGAATTATTACTTAAAAGAATATTTCCAGCATGTTCTTAAGCTAAAGGTACAAGAATTGATTAAACATTTACAATTTTGGATCTTAAAGGTGGATCAATGAAGATGGTTTCTAAATAAGTCTATAATTTCATTTAATTAGCATCAAATGTTGGTTAAAATAATTATCCTGAAATATTAGGAAAGTAGATATCAAATTAAATTTATTA